ACCTTCACTTCCCGGGTTCAAGCGAATCTCCTGCCTCAGCCTCCCAAATAGCAGGGACTACAGGTATGAGCCACCAGCTAATTTTTTTGTATTTTTAGTAGAAGTGGAGCTTCATACTGTTGGCCAAGATGGTCTCCATCTCTTCATCATGTGATCTGCCTGCCTCGGCCTCCCAAAGTGCTGGGATTACATGCGTGAGCCACCGCCCAGCCCTAATAATTTATTTTTTAAGAGATGGGGTCTCATTATGTTGCCCAGGCTGGTCTCAAACCCTTAGGCCTCCTAAAGTATTGGGATTATAGGAGTGAGCCACTGTACCAGGCCCCTAATAATAATCTTATCTGCAAATATTAACAATGCACTTGGTGTGATGAAGAACAGTGAGTTCTCATTTTGCATCTTTCTCATTTAAATCACACGATCACTCCGACGTCTCTCAGTTGCCCAGGCTGTAGTGCTGTGGTATGATCATGGCTCACTGCAGCCTTGAACTCCTGGACTCAAGCAGTCCTGCTGTCTTAGCTTCCTGAACAGGGAGGACTTATAGGCACACACCACCACACCTGGCTAATTTAAAAAAAGAAATTTGTAAAGATGAGGGTCTTTGCTGTGTTGCCCAGGCTGCTCTCAAATTCCTGGCCTCAAGCTGTCCTCCATTCTCAGTATATAGACATGTTTGAGCAAATCATTTATCATATAGATTAGATGTCACACTGCGTTTGAGCAAGAGTCAGGCTGCAGTTTTCCTAAAGTAACAAAATGATAGACCTTTGTTAAAATGAAACAAACCATCAATGTAGTCACTCCTTTTGACAGGTAATGAGATGGGTACTTTCAATTCTGCCTTGGGCACAGTGGAAGAAGAGAGGCACTGCCCCAAATACACTGAAAGCTCAGCCTTACTGGCCTTTGACTCTGCCCTGAGGAGGTATGACAGGAAATTTTGAAGCAAAAGAAAATCCCAATCATAACAGAAGTTTACAAAGAGGCCCAAGGGAGTGGCCTTTGTACCAGTAGCGCTGTTTTTTCTGAAAATAAAAAAACTGAGTAACATGAGCTTCACATGAAGGGGTCTAAGAAAGAGCAGGAAGGCAGGCATTTCCCCTGAGCCAGCAGAGTAGCAATTGCCCACTTCCTAAGAGTGATCAGTGGTGACAGCTGGGAGAGAGGTGAAAGCTGGGTAAGCCGGGAGGTGACTTCTATGTCCTTGACTTCCTGTGAATGTTGAAAGGCACTGTGTCATTTGCCTACTGGGAGTCCACT